CTGTAGTCATGAGACATACTAATTGTTCATTACACGTTGAGAGGAAGTTGGCAGTGAAAGAAATGCAGAAAGATCTCCATCATGGAAACCCAGAGGCTTGTAATTCCTCTCAGCGGTTTCCATAGTGCAGACATAACATGGACGCCACGGCGAGCCTAGCAACGCTCAAACAAATTTACATATACACATTTAAATGGGAGAATGTTTCCTCCCTCCGGTTGTCAAGTAGCCATACGTCGTGTGAATCATCTGGAGAACAAACCGGTAAATTGGCCTGCTGGAATCAGCCATAAAGCACACGATCTGGACCAAATAAGATCTTAATTGGTTCACCTGCCAATTCTACATAATTCAGGCTCCTGCTTTACAGAGGGGAAAAAACACAACGAAGAAGAACAAGCTCAAAAATTTTATAGCCGTTAACTCTGTCTTTTCTCATCCCTAGCTCTCTTATTAGGCTCTTCTTCTCTAAGCAAGACACCAAGATCTGTAAGCGGCAGTACTATGACTCAGACGCAGCCAGGCTTGATTTAGCGCGTCACAGGCGAGCCACAATGCCTCACGTTCTTTAAACTCCTATCTGAGCGACTGTTTTGCCGATTTTAATGACCATTTTTTATTTTAATAACGATTTTAATGATTCATCTCCCTCAGAAATGCTCCATTTTCTATTCAGCATTCAGCAAATGTCAAGCTCTCATTGTAATTCGGAAAATTGGTTGACTAATTTCCATCCGACAAGAATAGAGTTTTTCTCTATTGACTATTAGCGGCTGCTAGAGGTGTTCAATTGTTCTAAATTACATAGATCAAAGGCCGATTGAGCATGACAACACAAAACAATCGGTGCAATAAAACCATTCGGAGCCCTCCTTTGGTCTTCTCCGCGCTTTGATTCTCAGTAGCGCTGCCACTCGTCGCTCTATAACTTTGTAGCATTGAGTGGCAGTAGCTGAGAGTGAACATGACCTCTTACTGACTCCTGCCATCATACCGGATGTCTTTAACGGCAGTCGGAAAAAAACGAAACATCAACATTAATTCCCTGCTAAATGATCCATGTGAATTATGCATGAGGAGACTGCGTGATATGTAGATTTCCACCTTCAACCTTTGTCAGCCTAATTGCTGCCATTTAGGTCTGGATCTGAAGTGTAGCAGTCGACTGCAGACATGGCTCACATCCGTCAATAATGTTCTCGGGCTCATATCAAAGACTCCAGGAAGAGAAGTGCTGCCTGTGCATTAGCGAGGCGCCTCTGGGCCAACTCTGCCTGCGAAGCTAAGTCTTGATTTTTTTTTCCTATATGCATTCAGCTAGTCAAGATCTTTCTGTCTTACCTTGGTCATGTAGCTGCGAGTTGTTGGGGGGTACGGTCATATTCAGTACGTCGTTGACAGCCGTGTCAGCGTAGTGCCCTCTCTGAACATCATGTTCGCTGTCGGTTTGGTCGCTCTCCTCGTGCCCGCTGTCCTTCAGACTGTTTCCTTCCATGTCCTTGAATGTTGACGTGCTACAGCCAGATGAAGGAGAAAAGACAAGAAAGAAGGATAGTGTTATTTAACTGTCAACTTTGGTTTCATCATTCACTCTCTCTTCACCCCGTGCTACCTTTATTTATCTTCCAGCCACACAGAGAGTGTAGCTGAAAATAGGTGTTTTTTTCTCAAATGACCCCCGATAAAGGATCGGGGGTCAATGGCCTGCACTCACTTTGGCTGTGCACAGCTCTTTTGTGTTGCTACGGTCAAAGTTCCTACATTTTCTATAGACTGTTTCAGAAATACGTCTGTTGATTGCAGAGGCATTTATGGGGTAGTTGACCCAAAAATGAAAACTCTGTCATCATTTACTCACCCTTATGTCAGACTCTCAAGCTCTGGCTTTCTCTCGTCTATGTAACATTCTCTCTAATGAAAGTAAACCAGGACTAGGGTTGTCAAAATCCAAAATTACCTAAAAAAATATTATAAAAGCAGTGCATATGACTTGATGGATTTGTGTAAGGAACAGACCAAAATTAAGGCATATTATATAGAAATGATAATGTAAGTTAATAAAAGTGGTGCCATATACTGTAGGTCCTGAGAGGTTAATATTTTTGTGTACAATGTACACAATTACTTCTCTGAAATACTTTTATGATACTTTTTTGTCTTTTTAAAACTTGATTGCCTCTTTTAGTTTCATTGTATTGATACAATTTTCTTAAAATTCACAGTAACACTTTACAATAAAATGAACAAAAACTCTTGAAGCATTTTTTTAATCTTAGCTATTTTGAATTTCAACATTTTCTAATACATTATTAAAATCAAAAGTTGAATCTGTTAACATTATTTAATAGACCTGAACAAGTACTAACAATGAACAGTATTATTTTTATTATCTGGCATTAAAAGTGATGAATAAATACTGTAACAAAGGTACTGCTCATTTTTATTTAGTTAAGGCATTAACCAGTGTTAACTAATGGAGCCTGGGGGTGTGTAAAAAGAACTATCTCTTTAAAAAAGTATATTTATATCATGTGAGTCGTTAAATAAAACTGCACAGACATAGATATCTTGTATAACACCCCTGCATACAAGATGAGCCATCAATATTTATGGTTCATTTTCTTGGAAGAGAAATACTTTAGAATTTTGACAAAAGCTACGAATCTTTTATTGCATAGTTGTTGTTTTTTACGTAAACAAAATCAGGCCACTTCCTCTTATTTAGGAGAACTTATGTTGGTCACATAAACCCCTGGATGTTTAAAGAAAGAGAGGATGTTTTAAAGAAAGAGGTCTAATAATTTTAGCAAACTGTGCTTTCCCTCTTTACCCACATTATATGACTTGATAAAGCGAGAGGGGTAAAAAAAAAAAAAAAACCTGCCAAGAGACAGCTGCAGTGAACAAGCCTGATTTCCCTTAATTTGATAGTTAGCCCAGTGGAACACATTCAGCCTCTGAAGCAACAGCAAGGATCAGAAACGCATGCATACACATACACACACTGACATACATAGACAAAAGCATCTCTGCAGCCTCTTCTAAGGAGAAAGAGAGGAGGGAGAGAGGGATTCTAGCAATGTCACTGCAATGGTGGTGGTGCAGTCTCTGATTTTATCAGTCTAATTGCACCTGTCCCAGTCTGTGCGCCCACAGGCTCCGGGGATTTCTTTGTAGTGTAGAAGAGCCAAACAGTCGACACTTGAATACTCTTTGTTTATGTAAACATAGGCAGTGCTTTTTTAGAAGATAAAATTGCTGTAATTGGTTTGAAAAATGCGGTACCGAGGTAAACCGGAATGTTTTTTCTGCTCCAGGTAAAAGAGGCATTACAGTCCCTGTGCACATCCGTAGCAGCCAGGGCCCCAGGCGGCCAAGGACCTTCATTAGGGACGTCTGCATGCCAATGCTCCATGCCAGCCAATAGCCTCCTTTTAGGTGGACTGAGGAATGCTAGCCAAGTCCTGCCAGTACAAAGGATCTATTGTCCTTGCTCTTTTCTTCCACAGTGCGAACTAACGTTACCTTTTCCTTATCTCCGTGGCCTTACAAAGACCTCCTTGTGTGCACTGAGGAAGAATCCTTTGGAATTCCGGGATTAAAATTCATGTAGATTTAGCTATCAGATTAACATCTACACAGATGTAGCTTAACCGCCCAAGCCTCCTCCGCTCTGGGCTACAGTTTTAATATTCCCTAACATGTAATATGTATATACACGTTTGCAGGGATTTGATGGAATTATTCATATTAGGAAAAAAAATAAGGATGTGCTTAATCACTTACAATACTGAATTATTAAAGCACTGGCCATTTATAAACATTTTGAGCATTAATATCTTGCCTAAGACTGAACAATGGCATCTGAAATGGGCCATATCGTAAGTTTTTGTTGTTGTTAGATAAAGAGTGTTGTAATTCTGTACTGTACTGTAATTGTATGTCCACCTATTGAAACTAATATGCAAAAACATCTCATTCCGAAATATCTGACACTTGGTATATACTATAATACTAGTATTGCTCTTTGCACATGCAAATAGGATGTTTAGCATAATACAAAAGAAAATATGAAAAACAAAACAAGCTATGATCTGACCGCTTTAAGAACGCATCAAAATAAGTTAGATGAGTTAATCTGATTGCTTTATAAAGACATACCTTTTAATTAGGTGTGCTCTGCTGTTTACATAACTGGAGTCAATGGAATAATTCTCCGTCTGGGGGAAAGAGACAGAATTAAAGAGGGAGAGAGAGAGAGAAAGAAAGAGAGAGAGAGAGAACAAAATGAATTTAATTATGCAGCAACCAAAATAATGTCACCAGTAATTGCCTTTCAATATAAATGTTATTTTACACAAAGACTCTAGTTAGCTGCCTGTGCTTTCAAAGGCAAACTCCCCCATTCTCTTTCTAAGCACATGTGGCCTGTTCTGCTGCAGTGAGTCTGCTCCTGTCGTCACTCCTCCAGCCTCCCCCACCCAAAAAACATCCTTAGTCAGACCACGCTCTTCAAAATGTCATTAAGCCAGACTGGGGAATAGAGAAGGGGTGTTGGGGGCTAGTGAAGAAAGTTTCCTCTCTTCGAGTGCTGCTTTTCCTCACAACACTTTTGAGGATGCTAATGTGGAAATATCAAAGAAATAAATATACAGAGGGAAGAAATTAAGAGCGTGCCAGGGGATTTTTTTAACTTTGCAATTGCAGATGAAAAGGCCTCAATGATCTGCATTTGATGACTCTTTGACCCACATTGAGAAAGAGACTTCAGAGTCTTCTGGAAGGCAGCGCTTTCTAAATAAATGACTAGAAGTACACAGTAGAACTGGGTGATATATTTATTGAGTATTCGCAGTATATTTGTGGCGGTATTGCTGGCGTTGTGAAATTAAATCAACATCATGAATAATGCAAAGACTTCAATGCACTTCATATTTGGTCATTCAATTTTGTAAACAGCATGACTAATTTCACAATCCTCTTTGACTTGTGACTTGCAGGAATTAGAGTGTTGAGAAAGACCTGTTCCCAAGTCTTGTTGGTAAGTTCAATTAATTGACTAATGAATCACTTTAAACTGTTCATTTCAGTGAATCGGAACTCTAGGTTTCCCTGGTTTCACAGACAAGGCTTAAGCCTAGTGTCAGACTAAAATGTCTGTTTGAGCCGTTTTAACTGAAACCAACTTGCACTGAAATATCTTAAAATATGTTTCTAAGACATTGTTTATAAAAGCTACTTAAATGTCCTAATTGAACTAAGGCCTAATCCTGGCTTAATTTAAGCCCTGTTTGTGAAACCAGGCCTAGATTCAATGATTCATTTGCTTGGTCAAAAAGTCTCCACATGGCATTTTTTTCAAATTAGTATAAACATATATGCAGCTTAATATCACTGTAAATGGCTGTTGCTTAATTGGTGGATAAAAGGATAAGAAATATTATGTTAATTTAGTGGGAAAACTGTCTGTTTTCCTGTTTGGATTAAACATTTTGAATCTAACTGGCTACTATTGATGCATGTATTTTCCATGGGGAGAAACCTGCCTCTCAGATTCAACTTCAGCTGATTCTAAACTGAGATAGAAAATAATTCAATGGCTTCCTTCCAGGGGTATGTCTAGCCATCAGCCCCTCTGACAACAGCAGTCACCCAGACGATAAGAAGGTTAATGCAGACAGTGTAACAAGACCAATGATTATGCCGCCAGCCAGGGACTCCACACTAGCTGCTGGGAGACAGATACAAGCTATCATAATCACAGACAGAATAACTCTGCATAAAGATCTATGATCCCAAAAACATGCCAATTTCCTTCATCTGTGTATATCACCAGTGACTAGGAGATCCCTACAATGCAAGTAGTGCATGTCAACAATTACATAAGTGACATGTTAGAGGGATTGATTTCACAATGGATTTATTGGATCCTATTTCTGGAAACATACTTTTACTGGTTTTTAATATTTTTAATATTATATTATATTTAGCAACAGCAGCATGCGTAGCAGATTTAGCCTGCCAAGACCAAATACATTAACGTGATTGTCATGATTGAATTAATTTTAACAATATATGTATTTAAATAAAATATATCATATCTTTAGAGGCCTGGGCTGAGTTTCCCGATAACGTTGTCTCTTAGCGCGCTACGAAGACTCTTAACTTAAGGTATAACTTAACTGAAGGTATACCATTTCTAGGTGTGTTCCCCGAACTATACCTTAGAAAGCTGCTTAAGATATACCTTCTTACGTGCGACGTTACCGGGTGCTGTCCGTGGCGATGGTGCTGAATCTGTTGATATCGATGACTCGAGAATCAATTATTCTCTCGGGCAGGGGCTGTTTATGTGAGAAAGCGCTGTTCTTTATAAAATAAGCACTTCAGAAATAGTTGAAATTGCATTTACTAGGACTCAGGGGATATTATAAAAAATAATCCAAACTATAACAGCCTATAATAGCCTTGCCTACATATTTTAAAATTGTATCATATATTCCTGCCATAATAACCATTTGAATTGTTTATGTGCTTTCTTCTCTTTCCCATTTTTGTTCGCTGAGGTGAGCTGCGATGAAATATTGTTCTTGTAAATACTTTCAAGCATTTCAGTAATAAAAGTGTACGTCACGTAGCTACGGTGCTCGGCAGTGATCAAAAAGGATTTAAACAGTGAATTTTGAATCTCTTCTTGTAAACTCAGAGATGTGGATTCAGACGGCAATTAAATTACCACACGACCTGTTTGTCAAAAATCAGTAGGTACTAATTTGGACAGAGATTTTTACGCGGGTTGGGTGAGAAAAAACACTGATATTATGGATTCGGATAACCGACTCCATAATAATAAACTAAAATAACCGACTTACCCCTGTAAATCTTTAAAATACCGTACGAGCCCATGATAAACAATATTAGCGCCGAATAGGACTTAACTGACAGTAGCCTATGCTTTCACTGGCCTTTAAAAGCGCTCTTTAATTAAAATAAATTTATAAAATTTTATTATATATAATAATATAATTAAAATTCTAACAACAATCAGTGTAATGACAATTTTATTCTTTGCATGAAAACACTTGAATTTGCCTAATTGAACACTGTCTGAGTGTATTAAAACTTCAGAATTATATTCATATAGACCTTTAACAGTGATAATGTAAAGCTAAGAGTGGTCCAGACCAACCTTCCGAACGTATGACTTACAGAAGGTATAAAGAGCGTTTCGGGAAACACGTATTAACGATAAGGTACAGCTTAAGGTGTAACTTAAGAACGACGTAGCGTTAAGAAGGTTTCGGGAAACTCAGCCCTGTTAAATATATTTAAATTAAATAAATAAAAAATAAGCTTGTTTTTCTAGTGTAGTAATGCTCATCACTGTCCACCTCAGATCTTCTTCCAGTCAATAAGCTGCTGCTTACTGCCTCACCTCCACACTTCTTAATTACCTCCACACATGATAATATTTTAATTACAAGTGACGAGTGACCAGGCGTCTAATTGAGATGTTTGGGCTGGTGAAATATATACCCACTGAACGTTCTCTGGTTCACTGGTTAACGTTCTCTTTTATGTGTGTGTGTGTGTGTGTGTGTGTGAGAGAGAGGAGGGAGAGAGGAGGGGTTCCCTGTGTGGGTGTTTGCTATGTTTCTAATTAAACCTTAAGTCATTGTAATCACAGAGATAATTTGTAAAAAGCCATTTTAATTAACATTATATTAGCAGACCTCAATTTGTTTGTTCTCGTTGTAGCTCACAAGTTAGTTATTGCCTCTTTGTTCTTGTCAGGGCTGACTCCATTAATATCAAAGTAACAGGCATGAGCAAATATTTCAGAACTGAGGTGTGTGTATATATATATATATATATATATATATATATATATATATATATACACCTCAGTTCTGAAATATTTGATATAGATAGATAGATAGATAGATAGATAGATAGATAGATAGATAGATAGATAGATAGATAGGTGTGTGTGTGTGTGTGTGTGTGTGTGTGTGTGTGTGTGTGTGTGTGTGTGTGTGTGTGTGTGTGTGTGTGTGTGTGTGTGTGTGTTTTATGCCACCTGTGCCACCTGTGCTCTACTTTAGTCCCTGTGAGAACTCATTACAGAACCTTTCCATCTCTACAGTCATCCACAAAAAGACTAATGAATAGCAATGGACTGAGTAACAAGGGGAAAGCTTCATTAAAAAAGACCGTATACAAATTTCCAAATGATGTGCCTCTATGCGGCTGGTTCTGAGCGGCGTTATCCAGATCTCTGCTGGGAGAGCGAGAGGCCGTCCTCCTTGTGCATCTACACATACGAAGCTATGCTCCGCTCTCCTCGGCCACGGCACTTAAAACAAATGAGAGCACTGTTGAAACGCAGTTACACTGCACGGATCACTAACCCTTTTACGAGAAGAGTCACTGTCGATGATGCAGGCTCCGTCATCTCAGCAGATTTCCTTCTGTTGACATTTTGATCTCTCCGCTTATATCAGAATGGGCTAATTGGAGTAATAGCTTCAGTTATGCAAATGCAGCTGCTGTTCCATAGAGGCATCTCACTGCTGGAGATTAGGAAACACGCTTCAGTACTGTATTCAAGCAGATATCAACACGTTCTTTATAAGAACGTGATAGATAAGTGCCATTATTCCACAACAAAAGCATCTATTGATGTGTGGTGATGATTCACTAATGGATCATGATAATTAGTAAGCTTCCCCCAAAAAGGGATATCAATTGTATTCCGCAATGTTCTTGTGTTTTTCATTAATTCAGGTTGATGGCCAGAGGGCATTTAAGAGGCGCCCTTGGCCCTTAGAGGTCTTTATGCCAGAGAGCTTCCATGCATTAGCTGCAATCTTCCTGTAAAGTAATGTACTGTATGCCTACACCGCTGACCGCCATCAAATCATAAGGACTATCAATATTTCTTTTACAGAGGTTGGGTTTCAGGCTCAGAGATGAGGGTTGCTTAAACTACAGACGAGCTGCCACAAATGGCTACTTAATCAGGTTCTACAATGTGTTGTTATGATCCGAGCGGCCCCAGTTTGGCGGCCAGTGTCACCCTATCCCCGTAATTATTGTTGTGTTTCTTCCCACATACTTAAGGGTCTGGTGGGGCAAATCACACCCTAAGAGCTCTGTGAGTGAAGGTGGAAAGGCCGGAGAGGAAAGTAATGGAAAGGGGGTGGTAAACGAGACCTTCGGAGAGCTAGGCGACACCCTAACCTAATTTCTCTCTCTCTCTCTCTTTCTCTCCAACCTGCAGCCTCTAACCCCAACCGAACTCTTCCAACTTCAGCTAGTGGAGAGGAAAAGCAATCTCCTCGCTTGGTTGCCGCTGTGAGATTTGATTTGCCTTCTTCCCAGCGTGACAATTGGTTCTATAGTCCGGATGCGATAGCGTTCATTGTACAGAGGCCAGATGCAACGAGCGAGCGGAGCAGGAGTTCTTCAGGTGGCAAAAAAACACATGCAAAGTATGCACCAATTCAAACTACACGCTAAAACAGCAATTAATAATTATCAGGCTGTACCCTTGTTTTCACCACCATAGATAAAATGCCTATTAAATTCATTCCAGGACACAAAGCTAGTTAAGCCGAGACACTACAGGTGAATAGGGTAAAATGTAAAAATAGGTGTAAAACACCATGAAACTTTCCCAGCATTATCTAATTAAATATGCGCTGATTTGTATATATTTCAAAAAATGAAATCTAAGTATTGGATAAAGCCAGGTTCAAAATTATTTTTTCATTTTAGGGAGTGGTTGGGGATAAATAAATAAAAACGTGTCTTGAAGATCAAGCCTCTTTTTTTTAAAAGGGGGCCCCCTTTTCTTCTTTCTAACTCCACTAAAGTTCAAATGGAAGTGGAAAATCATCTTCTCTTCTGCAGCTAAATATGATTATTTTTTATATTAAAAAAAGCAATATGAAGGACCTCAATTAAAATTAAACCATTCCATTAACTCATTTTAATAGCAGTTTGGTGCTCGCAGTTATTTGGAAGCTGACTCTTCAGTCATCTTAAAGCTTATTTACACAGTCCCATGAGTGCTGGGAGGAAATCGGTACTCATAATGAGTCCTGTTGTTTATTTACCTCCATCCACAAGGAGCTTACCGAGGAGAGGTTATCATGAGGCAAAGGAAGGTAGAGCATAGCTATTTTCTTGTTTTAAAAAAAATGGCAAAACTGGAGACAGACTTTGTTGAGCAGGGCTTAGTGATATGAGCAGAAATGAGCCTGTAGCAAGGGTGGCATTTTCCACGGAGGCTTAGGAGATGTCTATATGTCTACAAATGTATTGCTGCAGAGAAATTACGTGTGTGCCATTTGACTGTGTGAATGGAACAGGGGAGTCTCTCACCCGCCGGCATATTGAAAGCCAATCTCAACATGGAGTCGCTCTGTACAGACATCACACGCTCTTCCTTTTTCCTTCTATGACATGCAGGCCTTCCTTTACTTTTATTTTCATTGTTTTCTTGCCTCCTACTCTCCTGAAGCCTTCTCTTTGCACCCCACCATCTTTTTGGTGGGTCTGCAGCATCTCTAAGCCGCTCGTCTAGTTCCACGCGGCACCCGTGACGACAGGAACGGACCACCGCAGCTTCATCTTCGCACCTGGTAGGAGTGGATTTATCCTTCCTTCCCCAGCTCAGAGAAACACAGCGCTCCACAGCCCGGTGTTAGGTTGCCAACCCCTGATTATAGAATTTCCCATAGATCCTCTGCCATCTGCTAGATTATAGATTTCCCCCCCTTCTCTTCCAGACCGTGTGAGCCCTAGGGGAGGCTCGACAGTATAAAGGGAGGTGAAGGAGCGCCTCAGGCTCACCCTGGCATCGGGATGAGATTACGTGTTCTATTTCTGCCTCTTCGGCAGGAACCGTGATGAATATGAGGACTTGTTGACGTTTAATAGCAGCCGGCTACCTACAAACACAAATTATAACGAATCAATCGCTACGGGAGCCCATGTGACAAATAAGCTGCCATATCCCCGAGATCATTCCACTTTATCACCTGTCAATTCACACTCAACTCAGTTTGGCCCGTTGCAAATCCATCTTATTATGAAAGGGAGCCATTTTCGAGGATAAACGCTTTTGGGGCTTTAAACTGGCTGTATGTTTTTCAGTTGTTTAAAAAAAAAACACCCATTGGGTTCAAAGTGATTTGGATTTTCAAAAAACAACTTCACAAAAAAATACGTAAAGGAATCATTTTTAAGCCTGTATCCTCCAGTAACCTTCGCACATTTGGCATCGCATTATTGCACTAACTAAAGCAGTTCTCCATGGGGACGAAACAGTGTGTTACAAATGAGTAAACACTACACACTTCCCTACCTCATTCATTCAGCGTTGCTTTGCCTGCAAAGTGTAATAGATATATTTCCTTTAAGAAAACAATCACAAAGCTCTCATAAACAACCAATGCAGAAATGGCTATTTCCTAGCTCAACAGCTGCATCGTTAACAGAGAAGGGAAAAAGAAAATGCCCTTCTGTTTGATCCTGTAAAAGACTCAAACTACAAATGCTAAGGGGTATAGGCTCCATTCAGTTTGTGTGTGATTAATTATGCATACATTAATAGCAGCTATGTTAATAATTCATAAGGTCATCATATGTCAGAACTCTCTGCCTTTTTGTGTGATGAAAATATTTAAATAACCTTTCCTATCATGCATATCTGCATTCCTGCAAGTAGGGTCATACTGTTGAGTCGTTTGCTAACGTTAGGCCACATTCCTACTGTGACACTCCTTTCTGATCTACTGTACATGTGAGAGTGTGTGTGCGTACTTTGATATTTCTCTTTTACAAGAACACTTGGGTTTGTTGTTGGCCTGTGGTGTTTGGGAATTGATCAGATACTCTGTCCACTATAAATAGCTCTTGGATGTTACAATATCCTTCTCAACCTGTAGAGCGTGTCTGTGTGTGTTTCAAAGAATCCACAATCTGCTTGGATGCTTTACAGGAAGCATACTGGTCATAATAGAAGAAAAGTGTGTGTGTGATTGTGGTGGTGTGTGGGTGGGTGGCCTTGGCTATCATATTGCATTTTCAAAGGACAATTTAGCCATAGAAGCTAATGAAACTCGCAGAACTTGCAGAAGTCACTCGTATGGGATGTTATTCTAATTCAAATGCTTGGGCTAAAGAACATTCACTCCTTTTATTCAAAAGTCTCCTTGAATCCACCTAGCGTCACCTGGGATGGAAAAGGAGAGTCACCTGGACGATAGATAATAGCAAGATGTACAAACCTGTGTTGGTTCACTAGCCTTCAGATAAAAGGATGTGACACGCACAGGTTATTGAGGTAGAGTCTTTATTTTCCTACTGATTTAGTAGAATTTTCTTTTAATTGTGGCTCTTAGTATCTTTAGGAAATCTATCATGACTACATTACAGTTCTAAAGATTGTGGTTAGTAATTGTTTGTGTATATACTCACCAAGGCTGCATTTATTTGATCATTTGAGTGAAATATCATAACCATTAAAATAACTGTTTTCTATTTCATTATATTTTAAAATGCAATTAATTCCTGTGATGGCAAAGCTGAATTTTCAGCATCATTACTCCAGTCTTCAGAGCCACATGATCCTTCAGAAATGATCTAATATGCTGATTTGGTGCTCCAGAATGATCGGAATATGACAAAACATCTATCCTATTATTATAATTGTTGAAAAAAGTTCAGTATTCTTTCAACCAACAGAATTCAACAGAACAGCAGTTGTTTAAAAAATACATATTTTGTAAATATGTAAAAGTCTTTACTGTCACTTTTGATCAATTTGAAGCATCCTATCCTTGCTTAATAAAAGTATTATTTTATTTGAAAAATCTTACTGACCCCAAACTTTTGAACAGTACAAATTAATCATGAATATTTTAAAGTATAAATATATCATAATCATATAAATTAATTTTCAAACAATTCTATAGGTTTTTAATGTTTTCTTTTAATCTAAATACTTAAAAAGCGCTGTTTGTATCATCTAGCATTTTTAATGGTGCTTGTTAATTTGCTTATTCTTAAAATCAGAGGTTTGCTCATGGTGGATGGATGGATGGATGGATGGATGGATGGATGGATGGATGGATGGATGGATAGACAGACAGACAGACAGACATATGCCAAACGACTCTGGCTGCACTGTTGAACATGAAGAGAGTGAGTGCTTCGCCTGTTATATTCACAGCTCAGGATGAGCACCATTGAGCCATTTTACACCATAGTCATGCATCTTTCTGTTTCTCTCTCCCTCACAGACACACTCGCTAATACACACAGAGACTCAATTGACGGGCGTGAGCGGACATGAGCGATGTGAACACCTTTACATCAGTGTAATATCCAGCACTGGGCTCCAGCAGGGAGTGCCGACTCATCCATTCTGGATGCTGCTTTTGTTATGAGTGTAAATCATATCCGCTTGACACTTTGATCCAAAATAATGACATAGTATCTAGGGGTATGTTCTCCCAAATATATGTCAACGTACTGAGATGTACCCCCCCTCCCCCCATACCCCGCACACACTCTCAGCCCATTTGCCTCCACTGCACGGCACCTTTGCACAATGACAAGGCACAGAAGCATCTTTCCAGGATTCTTTTTTTCCCCTGTGGATGGAAATTTGCAGCAACTCATTACAGACTCTTAGTCTCCCCGGATGTACTCCCTGTCTGTCACTGCCTTAAGTGCACTTTCTCTTTCCTCACTCTGTCTTTTCACTTCTCTCTTTTCCCCCTTTCTAAGATGGATTGAGCCAGCCTCCTTATTGACATCTCCTTATTGACATCCCTAACAGATGAGATGTGGGGAGATGCAATGTGCAAACAGGAAGCGGCGCGAACTTCATCATCTTTCACTAATCCCTCCAACCTTCCCCACTTATTCAAACAAACAATGTTTACTGCATACTTGGCTTCGGATCCCAGGCTCCAGAGCGACAGTGTAGCAGTTAGCACATGGTAGACATTTTAAGGTGATGCTAATACGGATGACAGATTCAAGCCTCTCTCTCTTTCCACTATGTAACAAACTAACTAACTGTGGTTCTCATAAGGGGTTCTAAGAATCATTCACTTCTTCACATTCAAATCAGCCGCTTTAACAATACTTTGTTTCTCTTTATACTGTATGGTCTTATTCCTTATCCTCATCTTTCTTTCTTTTTAAAACGCATTCAATGCGAAAAAGCCAATTGAAAATGCTAAGTTAATATTTATAATGTTTTTTAAAAAATAAAATAAAATAAAGACTTTAAATGTACCTGCCCTTTTAATACTGTTGGCTCCTGTATTTCTTAACTTTTTTTGGATTTTAATCCATTTTTGGACAAAAGTATCTGCTAAATAAAGTATTTGTATTTTTTATTATTACTCAACATTATTTAGTGGCTACATTCTGTAACAATGTTT